TTCTTCTTATATCATGTTGTTCTTTCCTTCTTCCTTCATGCTTGGTGTTATGATGAATATACTAGATTTGAAATAAGAAGACCTAGATTTGAGATGCAGGTTCACCATTTACTAGTCAAGTGACCATGGACAAGTTACTTAAACAATTCTGAACCTTGGTTTTCTTATCTACAGAATGGAAGTAATCATAGTTGCACCTTTTCTCATAGAGTTTCTGTGAACAAAGTGCTTCATGAAGTGTCTATCTTCCTTATATGTCTGAAGACTTGATATTTTTCTCCACTTTCTCTCTTTGTGTGTGGTGGCTCTTTCATTCTGTATCTGCTGCATCCCTAAAATAATTTTTGTCCTCTCACTGGCACCAGAACTGGGGCTAAGTACATCATTATAACTCATTTATTATTATATGTACTGTATATTGGAAAGAGAAAAAAAGATAATACTCTAGGTGAAAGAGAGGAAGGGAATGAATAGATGCTATGGAGAGGAGTAGCTACCCAACACTTTCTTTTCCATATAACCACATTTTTTATGTCCTCTATAAATTTTCCCCATTCACCGTAACCTGAGATATTCTCTCTCATCTGAACTCTTATAGTTTATTTGTCTGTATAGTTCATTTGGACTCATTGAGGAAGAGAGGAAAGTATGCTGGAGGTTAGTTGAAAACGGCTACCAGAATCTTGAATGGTAGATAAACATGGATTGAGTAAACCTTAAAGAAAGACAGGTTACTTGAGTAATGGTGGTAGAGGGAGAGCCTGGAAGTGGCAAGGGTATACAAGGAATATTCCAATTCTCCCACTTCAACCAGTTGGTCAGGGTGAATGAGTGAAAGATCAGCCAGTGCTGGAGGTGGCCAAGGAAGCAGTGTCATCAGGAAGGAAGCCAGGTCTCAGTGATTGTAAGAAGACAGAAAGAGCAAGAGAGGAAAAGGTTTAGGATGAAAGCTTGTTTGATAGGCATTCTAGAATAGGTATTCTAGAAAGCACTGTGGAAGGGACGGGGAGCTTTAAAATGGGGTGTTGGCAGGGTTGGATTGAGGGGGATGGGGTTTGACCCATAAGGGGTCAAGAATGGGGTTGGAAGAAGGCAGGTAAAGATTTAGAATTACTGGGTTGGGGAGTGAATGATGGGGTGGGAATATGTTAACCATTGAGGAATAGGGGTTCAGCCTGGGAGCACAGTTTTCCTGGAGTGTGAGGCAGCAGTATATAGATGGAAAGGGGCTAAGGGGCCAGGCAAATTGAATGATAGCCAGGACGTGCTCAGAATCTGATCAGTAGCTTCCCTGAGAGGCCAGGAATGGAAATGCTAATAAATTATAGTAGCCCAAATAAATAGTAGATGCTCAATAAATATTTATCTATTGATAAGATGAAGAGTTGGAGAATATTGGTCATGAAGGAGACAGAGGAGAGATTGGGATATAAATAGGGGAAAAGTTTGGGTTGCTGTGAGTAGGAGAGAAGAGGAAAAGAGTTCCATGAAAGAGGGAGGAAGAGAGACTGAATGGGTATGAGGCCACCCAAATTTCACAGAAAAAAAGAGCTACTTATTAATAAACCTGTCTTCGCATTCATACTTAGCCATTACAAATGCTTGGTAACTGTAGTTCTCGGGCAGTAAGAATGATATTTATACTATTTTTCTTGTTAGTGAAGATGTGCATTTGAGATTTTTTTAAAAGCAAAAGTCTTTAGATATATATTTAATTAGGCAGCAGTTGGAATAAAAATAATAGTTGTAGGGGTAGCTGGTTCTCTAGCAGTGGAAAAACATTATCAGCTTATACATGAAGATAGGTGTCTTTTATATACATGCAATGCTTGCGTGTATGTATATGTATCTATACATGTACAACATCTTGCCTATGGTATATACTAACTATGAGACCCTGAGCAAATCACTTAACCTCTCGGTGTTCTAGGTAACTTTTTAAGATTAGATGCTCACCTCCAAGATTAGATGCTCACTTCTAAGAGTAGATACTCACCTACGTGCATAGGAGTTTCCTCACCTGGTAATTATATACCAATGAAATCACAAGAGATACAACTGCGTCATAATATATGTATGTGTGTGTGTGTGTGTGTGTGTGTGTGTGTGTATGTATATATATGTAGTTTTCATATATTGTAGATCATTCTGAACAATTGTATGAGCACCAACACTTTCTGTTACATGTGGTATAGTAAATTTCTTTGACTAACATTCTGTAAAGGCCTAAATCTAAAAAACAAAAGAAAACATTATTTAGATTAAGTGACATGTGAAAACACAAGAATGCTATATGTACTCCAGTAATTGTTCAATGATTTTTATCTTGTGTTCCATTACTTAATTCAAAACATTAATGTACTTGCAAAGCTACCAGGGGAAAGGGGAAGAAATTCTTTTTATCCCCTCACTACAAAAAGCAAGTCTGGTCCAACTTAAAAGATGTGGTGATTGAATTGGAACAGACCTGAGAAATCCTTACAGTAGTCACTGCAATTTGCCCAGTCTGAAATGCTCTGGGAAATAATGCGGATTTTGACACAAACACCAACATTTTGATTACTTCCAGAGTGATCTTTGGAGTGTACGTAACTAGGAGTGTGATGGCTCAGGAAAGCCAATTGTTAAATTTGTTGGCAAATGCCATAAATCAAGACTTGATTTACTGCTTTGTTGATTTCCTAGACTTAAGAAAGTAATGAAGAAAATGTTAATAATGCAGATTAAGTGTAAAAATATGCTGCATATTGTTTTTTTCCCCCCTTCTTCTGGAAAGCTAGTTTTTAAACATTTGCCAGCACATATCAGTGTATGACTCTGTTGGGTCATTATGGTCCTTCCCTAGAATGAATGAGAATTCCTTAACTTCTGCTTGACTGAAAGTTTTAAAAATTGGAAACTGGAAGTTTCTTTCTTTTAAAATTCCTCAGCATCATCATCAATTCTTTCTTCATTTCCTGTCTCGGCAAAATAGGTACCCCACGTCCTTGTTGAGGTTAACTTCTCTCTGTGGGTTCTTGTTCCTCTCTGCTAAGGATTTGCCTTCAACAATTACTCATTCTCATCTTCCATCTGTCTATGAGCATCCTGAAGACTTTGAACTCTAATAAAGCCTTTCCTTAATCCTTTTTACTCCACCCAACTAACACCTCTTCACTCTTCACCCCTTTAGCATTACGTTTCTTGTAAAAGTAGCTCATGCCTAATGACTTCTCTCTCCCTAACACCTGGTATTTTGTTTCTGTCCTCTCCCTAAAAAATAAAGAAAAAGTATTCTTTCAAAGGTCATCTATCGCTTTCCTCCATCAAACAGGATTGTTCTTTTTTTTTTTTTTTTTGCTTTTTCCAGGTCTCATCCTCTTCGGTTCCTCTGAAGTATTTGACACTGTTTATTAGCTTACCGTTTCTTTCTGGATCTTCTCTACTTTCTTGGCTTCAGAGATAACACATTCTCCTTATCTCTTCCCTACTTCTATAACTGGTCTTTTATCTCTTTCCACTAGTACCTTGTCTTTTTTCAAAGTATTCTCTTTCATCTTCAGTTCTGTTCTCCATATGCTGACTACTTGGTTAATCTAATTAATTCCCATGGCTTCAACTATCTCCTCTATGAAGGTGACTCTTAGGTTTTTACAACCAGCTCTGACCTCTCCTGAGCTCCAAGATCCCATCTTAAATTGCCTACAGGATACATTTACTTTAATCTATATCTTATGTCCATTTTATATCTATAATGATACCCTAAGCTCAATATGCCTAACACAAAGCTTCTCCTTTCTCCAAAATTTTTTTTTACCTGACCTCACTGTTTGTCAGTGTGACTAACATTCAACCAAATCTTTCCCATTTAAAACATGCTGTTATCTTCCCAATATCTCATCTCTTATATCCACTTAGCAAATCCTTTCTATTCTACCTCAGCAACATCCCTTCTTACTTTTCCCAATTTCCCTATACCCACTATAACCACCCTAGTATAAGTCCTCATTACAATCCAATCTAAACTTCCTGACCGTCCCACCTTTAATCTTTCCCCCCACCTTACAAATCATCTTTAATGCTGCTGCCAGACAAAACTCCCTTATGCATGATCTAGTCATATCACTCCCCTACTCAAAATTATTTAATGATTTCCTGTTGCCTACTGAGTAAAGTTGAAATCCTTTGCCTCGTATTCAAAGGTCTGTACAATTTGGTGGAAACTAATCTATCTTCAGCCTTGTCATATGCTATTCTCCCTGCTGCCTTATATCTATATACATACATATACACATACATATATACATATACATATCTCCTAAAAGAAAGAACCATTCCTTCCTTTTTATAGCGCAAATGGTCCAACTGAACTATTCAAAGAATTTTGCAAAAAGAGACCCATCCTATTCTAATTTATATGACTGTCTTCTTTTTCTTTGTGGCACCCAGTTCCTAGTATAGATTACTAAACATAGTAGGTACTCAATATGTGTTTGTTGAATAAATTTTTAAAATGAATTTATTTTACCATCTCACAAAATTTTTGTTATTTCTTCCTGTACTTACTAATATCATAGCAATAATGTATTACTCCTGAAGAAGTAGAGTACCAATATTATGGGCCACATTTAAAACTTGTAACTAATTGTTTTTATAATCCAGGTTTTTGTGTCCATGCTCATCAGTATGGTTACTTTTAGTTGCGGTGAAATATGAATTCCCTGTCAAGTAGAAATTGTTGAGTTGTGGCTTGTTCCATTGTATTGTTACAATATTCTGCTGGAATCCATTTAATTGTGAACTGACTTTCTTATTCAAATATAGATTTTTCATATCGTTAATTTCATACTAAAGATATTTTAATATATTTATTGAGATTTCCCCCCTTTAGAATAATTGCTTCATTTTAAAAGTCATAATTTCTCAGGAAAGAATTATGACAGAAAGTTTCCACCTGACCAAAACATACATTTTCATTCTTATAATCAGTTGGTAATTTGCGTGTTTTATTCTTTTAATAGGAAATATCAAAGTTTGCAGAAAAAGACAACACAGTTCTTGGAGAAGGTGGAATCACTCTGAGTGGAGGTCAACGAGCAAGAATTTCTTTAGCAAGGTTGATATTTTGGAATTTGTTCAGTTAAAATTTACTGTAACTACAACATTTATGAAAAGGCACAGTACCCTTTCAATATTTTTTAGATAATTTGATTTAAAGTGCCTTAGGGTTCAGGGCAAGAGCAGTATTTTCTAAAGTTTTATAACTAATACATTAAAAATGCATTTTAAGATTTATAGATAACGATGAAACTTTTACGAGTGAACCCTAAATTATAGATCATATTAACAGAGTTTTTACCATACACTGTTATGCAATCTGAATCTCCCTGAGAACTGGGAACCATTTGTGAGATAATGCTAATTATATAAATTCAACTAAACTCTCCCTTCAAGTGCATCTTCTCAAATAGCAAAATATTTAATTAAGATTGACTAGCAAGGTAGGGGGCAGAATCCTTCTTAGTTTTCCTTCTCTCCCCTAAGGAAATTGAATGCAATCTCCTATGCAAAGGAGAGAGAGCTTTCTTACTCCCTAAATAAATGTCCTCTAGAATGACTTTCCCATAGCACCCATAGGAGGAAAGAAGGAAGGAGGGAGGGAAGGACGAAAGGAAGTAGAGAAGGATGAAAGGAAGGAGGGCAGGAAAGAAGGAAGAAGAAAGGAAGGAAGGCCATTTTCCTCCTTATCATCTTGTGTGACCCTGGGCAAGTCACTTAACCTGTCTGTCTCATTTCCTCACCTATAAAATGAGTTGGAGAAGGAAATGGCAAGCCACTGCAGTGTCTTTGCCAAGCAAACCCCAAAAATGGGATCATGGAGAGTTGGACATGACTGAAACAACTCCACAACAATAACAGCTTCTCAGTGTGGTCTTGTTTGCCAACATGGTGGTCTGTGCACATCTCTGGGGTATAGGCTCCAGGATCATCAGAGTTTTTACCAGAACTCTTGTGTTCAGGCAAACATTCGTAATATCTCCCATACAGTTTTTTCTTTGTTTTCTTTTCTTCAACTAAAGATTATTTCCAGTTACAGTGGGAAGTCATCTCTGTCTCTCATCTCTCTTAGTTTACTCTCGGAACTGACAAGCAACTTCCATGGGCAGCTGCTTCTCCCACCCTGTGGTAGATACCCCAGTGAATGAATTCTTCCTATGTGGCTTCTTCTTCAATGAAGCCTGTCCCTCCTTAGACAACCCTCGCATCTAGTTACAAACCTGGCATGAGTCTGATATCCTAAGACATCTCCCAAAGAATAGTACTTCTCTTGTCTCGTACTTTGTGGGCATTAAGGTCAGATAGGAATTAGACATTATTGACAATGATCAACTTGCCCTTGGTATGCTATTGCATCCTCATGATAACCCTGTCAGATAGGTAGGGGCTTGCCCATTATAATCTCCATTTTTCAGAAGAAAAAACAGACTTGTAGAGATTAAATATCTTGTCCAAGGACACATTGCATGTCATTGGGAGAGGTGGGATTTGAATCCAGTTTTCTTACTTGAAAGTTCAGTGATTTTTTTTCCCTTTTGTTATACCTCACTGCCTCTCATAGTCTCTAAGTCTATGCTGTGCCTTTGCATTTGTGGGTAGACATTTGCCTTATGTAGCTGAACTATTAAGCTTAAATTCACAGAGAAAGTTCATAGAAAATAAGTAAGATTTTTAGTTTTCATATTTGTCTCAGATTTCACTGGTACAGAGAACTTTCTCCCTATGAGGAAATTCTCTTTACAGATGTAGATCAGATCTACACATCAGCACAAGCCTTTGGTCTTAGAGATTGCTTGGGGGTCAATGAGAGGAGGGAGTGTTCTCTCAGTGGAAAGGTTACTGACTTTGGAGTCAGAAGAAATTGGGTTCAAATTCTGGTTCTGCCACTTCTTATCTATCTGTGTGACCTTGGCCAAGTCATGGCCTCTCTGTGCCTTGAATTTTTCAACTATAAAATAGAGTTTAGATTTGACCTCTAAATTCTCTACCATCTCTCTGTGAACCTCTGACTTTCCCTAACTACTATGTGTCAGGGGAGGGACATAATCCTAGATTTTCCTGAGTTTGAGGCCAGTTCTCCCTCCCATAGTTTTCATTTTAGTAGGCTTAAAGGTTAATTTTTTTTAAAAGAGAAAGCTAAATTATGTTAGTTGACAATGCCTAGAATTTATAATTGTTAAAGAAGAATGAACACAGTGGTTGTTCTTACCAGTGTGGAGAATTATACTGGAGCTCATTGTATTTTGCAAAGAGATAATAAATCATAAATTTCTAGAGTTGCATGGAAATTCAGAGTCATATAGCCTAACTGTACACGAAGCATAATTCCTTTCATAATTGATTAATTTGTTTTTGAGAACAAAAGCTATTAAATATGCTGAATCATATTCAACCACTTAACCCCTTATCTCTGATAATAAAATAAATCTATCACTATTACTCAATCATTCATGTCTCATTAGAGTTGTTAAGGGAAAAAAATGGACTCATTAAGATTTCACCTGGGTAATGAGAACAGTGGCCTTGGTAATTCACAAATGAGGTGAAAGTTAACTTAACCTCTGCCTCTTAGTTACCCTGGCTGCCTTCCATACTTAACTCAAAGCCCGCTTTTTGAAAGAATCTCTTTAGATTTTCTAAGTTATTTATGCCTCACCTCCCAGATTGCCTTCTCTATATATCTCAGCAGAATAAGGATTTTAATCCAGGACTTCTGATTCCAGGTCTAGTATTCTTTCCCATATGCATCTGGGATGCCATTGAACAAGATGTTATTTACATGTTATAAATTCCTCCAATAGAATGTATGCTTCTATCTTGAGGATAGGGACTGGGCTGTTTTAATTTTCTTTGTATCCCCAAAGCTTAGCAGAGTACATGGCACATGGTAAACTTTTAATAAATGAGTGTTAAATGACTATACTGGTACATTTATGAATGAATGTGAGAAACTTCTGCAAAGCTTACATTTCCATTTTTGTCCTTTCTGCAAATAGCTTTCAAAAATGTAGATATAACTATAAAATTCTATTTGACTTTCGAAGTTATATTGGTTTTTCTTATATTTACCGCTCACTCCTACCTTGTAAGCATTTTTCTTTCTTGTATTGTTCGTAACAATAAGGTAAAAATAAGCTTCTACTTATTAGAAGAACTGAGAGATAGCCACAAAAGCAAAATCAAAAGGAGAAGCAGTGTCCGTTCCTTTTATATGATTGCTTTGGATTTATCTGTCTCACTTTAGTGGGAGTAGCTAGGCCCTGTATTAGTACACCAGAGTTATCAGCTGCAAACAGTAGGTATACACAATATCCAGTTTGCAAGGCTAGGTGGTCCCTTGATTGCTAATGAATGAGTTGTAGATCAGCTATGATCAACTATAGATCGACTGTAGACCAACTGAACAGATAACATAGGCCAGACCAAGTACTACAGGACCCATTTTTAGAAATAACAATATTCTGTCCTATTTTACTACCTAAGAAGTTTGGGTCTTTTGGGGTCTGTTTTAAGAAGAATCCGATTTTTCTGACTTGGGTTAAGGCCCCTAGATTCACTCTAGAGTGAACTTCAGCCTCTGAGGGTAGCCTCTGAATGATCTTAGCCTTTCTAGTGCATCCTGAATAAAGCTGAGCCAAGAGTAGTCCAGGCTCCTTAGCCTGGCTCTGTAAGTCAGTAGAATCCCAGAAGTATAACTAGACCTAGAAGCAGAGGTCCCAGCTCTGCTGCTGACTGTTTGACTTTGGGCAATTACTTTACCTTTCTGCCTTAGTTTCCTTATTAATAAAATGGGGATGATTGGTGGATTAAATGATCTCTAATGTCACTTCCGGCTTTAAATCCATAGCTTATTGTGCAGAATTTTGTAGAGAAACCTTTCACCAGTCTCCAGAAATACCTCCACTTTGTTCAGGAAAATTCTCCTTCCCTTCCCTCCTTCCTTCCTTCCTTCTTTCTTTCCTTCCTTCCTTCCTTCTTTTTCTTTCCATCACTCTTTCCCTGCTTTCCTCCCTCCCTCCTTCTCTTTCTTCCTTCTTTCTTTTTCTCCTTGCTTCCTTGTTTTTTTCCCCCTTCTATTTTGAGGTTGCTTGCACATCAGAGGTTAAAGAGATCCCAGAACTTGGTCAAAAAGAGCATTTTTCAGGAATTGAAAAGCACTAATGTATAATCAAGATCAAATTCTAGATATACTTGTCACCAAAACAATGTATCAAAACTGAATAATAAGAGAACTAGATCATGTAGTTTGAAAGGTGTGTTTGTTTTGTTTTTGTTTTTTTAGCAAACAAAACTTTTTCTTTATTCCTCTTGTTTAATTTTAGAACATAAAAAAAAAATTTCATAATATGCCACAATATAGTATTGTAGCAGGAGTTTTGCTTACTTATATGCAACAATCTCATGGATGCAGATATGTGTGTTGCAAGATGTAAAGCAATACCTTTCAGGTTTTTTCTGAGACAAAGACACAAATCCCTACCCTTACCCTACTACTAATATGTCACCTTATACATTCTTCCAGTTTCAAAGGCCATTTAGTAGATATGAATGGAATTTCATCAGAAAGTAACAAAATTAGTCATTAATTGATCGATTTATTCATTGGCTCTGAACCTCAGGAAAACCAAGGGAATTTCTTTTCCCCATAAGCTTTTTCTCCTCTCTGTCTCATACTTCATCATAGTGACAAACATCAGTGATATTGGCCATATAATTTATTAACAGTAAAACATAATACATGACATAGATAAATATTTAGAGAATGCATTTGCTGTGAGAAAATCACTGCCAGAGTGTACTATGTGCTCTTTAAAAGTAATAAAAGAAGTTGTTTGACTAGAATTCTCTTCCTGTTAGCTACCACTATTGAATCCTTCAAAACTGTGAAACCATAGTTCAACAATTCTGTTCTCTCAGGATGAAATATAATTTAATTCACTCAATTCACCTCTGGAATGATAGTTAAACTCAGATCTCTCAAAATATCTCTTTAGACCCTCAAATGACAGTTAATTTTGTTAGTCACTCACAGACTCATTCTCTCACAGAGTTAACTGTAGTCTTTTATTACCTGAAAGTTAGCTCTCCACTTCTCCTCAGGACAGAAATTCTCATAAAGCTTTCTCGGTGATTCACATAGACTCCCCCAAAGATGACAGTTAATGGTCAGTCGCCAAGATTCTTTTTCTCTTTCTCATAAAGGTATTAGCAATAGCATTTATTGTCTCTGTGAGAATGGGTATTTAATCTAGGGTTACAATCAATTTTAAGAAGCAATCAGACATTTCTCTTTGAACTTAAACTTCAATATTTCAATGAAGTTGTGATCTCATAGATTTCAATATTCCCTCTATCAGTTCAGGTCATGTCCCATCCATCACTCATTCTGTGCAATAATTAGTTTTGTTCTAACATAGATCCTCCACAGAGGGTCTAACTCTAACCTGTGTGCCCATTGTCTATTAAATAAGCGCATCTATGTTTTAAAAAGCAACAGCAGATTTTCACCATCAAATAATTAACATCTTGAAAAAAATCCTGTGAATTACGAAGAAAGTTCTCAAACATATTTGAATCATTTACTGTCTATTTATAATCTTAAGGGCAAGAAATATGTTCATTATACCTTTTGTATCCCTCGCACCAGGCACAAAATTTTGCACATAGCCTTTAATAAAAGTTTGTTGAATTTGTTCAATGATGCTTCTTAGTAATAAATAAATTAACTAAATTCACATTAAATTATGGGTGCATAATCTCATTATGCTATTGTTCCAAAATCTAATCAATGGGAATTTTATATGACCAAAGATATTTTTCTTCATGAATTAGGAAAGCACAATAAAATATCGTGGATGAACCCTAAGAGACTGAGCTAAGAATTCTTCCTTTGAAGAAATTACACATTCACTAACATTTGACATTATCAAGAACAAAATGTTTAGTGATTCGTCAACAATGTTTAGTAGCCATAAACATTATTTGTTATTTTAAAAATCAAATGGGTGTTCTCTATTATATTCCATAGAGAAAAGTTGAATGGGTTAGTGAAAGGAGCACTGGATAAGGAATCAGAAACCTGCCATTGACACGCCCTGTGACTGTAGACAGCTCATTTAGTCTCCTTTAGCCCATCTTTTCATTTTCAAGGCAAAGAAATTGAACTATGTCAGAACCCTTCAGAACAAAACTTTGCTGTAACCCTTCCAGTAAAAACTTTAAAAATGATTTTTAAAATGCTAATTGGTACTGAATGGTGGCAAATAGCCTCAAGCTGGTTAAAAGCCTAGAAACATTGCTAACCAACCTAAGAAGGATGTGATTGTTTGCTCTCAGAAGTGTTATATAGTTGAATGTGAGAGCTCACTCTGTTATATGCTTCACAGCAATCTTTATTTTCCCCTTTTATTTACAAAACCTAAAATTAGGGAAATTATTGCAGTTAATTACCTTTTCCCTCAAAAACAATTAGGGAATTTTATTTTTTAATCTCATACTGTGTTTGTAAACATTTAGTGACAGTAATATACTGCATCAGAATTACTAGACACAAAGGCACGTTGGATAGCACTCTTGCCATCTTTATGTTTCTCTGTCTAGAGAAACAAATACAGTAGATCTGTGAATATGTAATTCTGCCATCAGTTTTGACTGTCAATCCTTTTACTTTCAACCAATTAATAGCATTTATGAAGTGCCTGGTATGTGGCAGAATATGTTCCACTTATATATAAAACAAAAATGTACGTAGGCAGTTATTATTTCATACCCTCTCCACCAACATACATTGATCGGACATCATATGCTATTTGGATATATTCAGTGATTGATTTTGACCAATCTCCAATCATACAGTGAATTCACTAAACAGCCAACACTGATAGAAAAGCTTTATTATGTGCATTTCTCCTCTCCTTATTATTATTTTGTTTGAGGGAACACTCGTACTTTTTTTGTGGAGTCCCAAAAATCTACAGAATAGTTTGACAAATATTAGCTTAGCTGATTTTTAAGGTTCCTTTTACTGCTCTGATTTTCTTTGGTTTAAATACTTTTAAATTAAAAAAAATTATAATATGTTTTCTCAGGTAATACATTAAAAGGAGATGAATATTTAAATTACTATAAAAATGTACTAGTTACATGGCAACCACCATGAGTTAATTTTATTTAAATCTAGCAAAACTCTTGCCTTTAGGTAGTTGTTAAAAGTCATAAGGTCTTGTATGATTCCCACCCTACCTGTACATATAAAATCACTTACAAGAAATAGAATTAAGAAATTTGCAAGTAAATATGGAAGAAAAATGAATTTGTTTCCTTTTGCTTTTTAGAGCAATATACAAAGATGCAGATTTGTACCTTTTAGATTCTCCATTTGGCTATTTAGATGTGTTAACAGAAAAGGAGATATTTGAAAGGTAAGTTCTTTGAATAATTTACCTAATTCAGTTGTTTTGTAGGGCAACCTGGCATTTCATTGACATGTTCCTTAGGTGAGGAAGCTCCCTTTACCAAAGCTGATCAACGTCTTTGCAATTCATATTCTTAGAGAGTACCATAGAGGCATAGAGGGTTTAAGTAATACTGGGGTCAAGTGGGCAGCTAGGTGACTCGGTGGATAGAGCACTGGGCCTGGAGTCAGGAATACCTGAGTTCAAATCCAATCACAGGCACTTCTTAGTTGCATGACTCTGAGGAAGTCACTTAACCCTGTTTGCCTCAGTTTCCTCATCTGTAAAATGAACTGGAGAAGGAAATGGCAAATTACTCCACTATCTTTGCCTAGAAAACCCCAAATAAAGTCATGGAGAGTTGGACACAACTGAACACCACCGCCACCACCACCACCATCATAAGGTCAAAACACATGTGATAGGCAGGGCTTGAGCCCAGATCTTCCTGGAGGAAAATTGGAAGGACCACTTATCAAGTTGATTTAATTCAATACATGCTTCCAAAGTCTAGTTTTGTTTTCTTTTTTTCATAACTAGACCAAGTTTATTGTGGTATTCCTGGCTTCATTATTAATCAGAGGTTAAAACATGAAAGGAATTTTGTGGAGTTGCTTAAGAATTGAAAAGCTCTGAAATTTAAAAAGACATAAATATAGAATTGAGATTTACAGAGGGCTATAGAAACAACATGGGTCCACCTCTTCTACCATTTTATAATTTATAAAGAAAGTGAAACTCAAGAAACAAAAGTAAACTGTGTAAAGTCACACTTTTATTAGAAGAATTTGCTCATGGCACAATTAACTAAAGCTCTAATTCAATTTGGAATAAGAATTACAACCCCTTTGTAGTCATAGAGTCCTTTCTCCTCCCTTCTCTACACCAGGTCTGGAACCATAAACCATAATTAAATCAGTTCTCTATTGTTTCTGCATAGAACTTTCTAATCTAGACCAAAGTGGCTACTCCTTGGCCACCACTCTTCTACATAATTGGTCTCCCCCATTCAAATCTAAGTTCCTTAAATGCAGGGATAATAATAATAATAGGTAGCATGTATGTGTGTGTGTGTGTGAGTGTGTGTGTGTGTATGTGTATATATATATATATATATATATATATATATATATATATATATATAATGTATATATATATATATATATATATATATATATATATATATATATATATATATATATATATATATATATATATATATATAATGTCTACAAAGGCACTGTGCTAAATACTTTGTAATAATTATACCATTTGATCTTCACAACAACCCTGGGAGGCAGGTACTAATTACTATTCCCATTTTAGGACTGAGGTAACTGAGATACTTACAGAGAGGTTGAATGACTTGATGGGGATTGCATGGCTAGTAAGTGTCCAAGGCTGGATTTGAACTCAGGTCTTCCTGCCTCCAGGCTCAGAGCTCTATCCATTGTTCCACCTAGTTGCCTCAGAGAAAGTCCTTTGCTTTTTTATTTATATACTGAAGGCTTAGTACAAATGTTTAGCCAATAATAAGTATTTAATAAATAGTTTTTCTTTCATTAATTCCTAAAAAGTAAATGAAAAAAGGTTTGTAATATAAGTCACATAATAGTTATATAATGAATTAATGAAACTATAAAGCAAGGGTATTATTAACCTTTTCTGGATCACGAATTCCCTTGGCAGTCATGTGGAACCTGTGGAATCCTTCTCAGAATGATTTTTTTGGGACTATATTCATAATTGATGAAAATGCTAAATTTCAGTTAAAGATTAATGAGGATAAAGATTTAATTTCCCCCACCAAAGTTTATGGGCCTCCTTAAAATGGGGGAGGGGCTTATATGACCATTAGAATTAGCCTTCGAGGGAACATTTTGTTGACATAAACCCCTTTTCTGTTTCTGAAGCTGTGTCTGCGAGCTGATGGCGAACAAAACCAGGATATTGATCACCTCTAAAATGGAGCATTTAAAGAAAGCTGACAAGATATTAATTTTACATGAAGGCAGTTGCTATTTTTATGGGGCCTTTTCTGAACTTCAAAGTCTGAGACCTGACTTTAGCTCAAAACTCATGGGATTTGATTCTTTTGACCAGTTCAGTGCAGAAAGAAGAAACTCAATCCTAACAGAAACCCTGAGACGTTTCTCAATAGAAAGTGATACTGCTGTTTCCTGGAATGAAGGAAAAAAGCAAGCTTTTAAACAAACTGGAGACTTTGGGGAAAGAAGAAAGAATTCTATTCTCAGCCCACTGAACTCCACTAGGAAATTTTCAGTAGTGCAACAGCAAATTGAAGAAAATGATGATGAGCCATTAGAAAGGAGGTTGTCTTTGGTGCCTGATTCAGAGCAGGGAGAGGCCATTCTGCCTAGGAGTAACATGATAAACACTGGTCCAACATTCCAAGGACGAAACAGGAGACAGTCAGTATTGAACCTGATGACCCGCCCCTCAGTTCACCAAGGTCAGAACATGCACAAAACGGGAAATGCTGCTGTCAGGAAGATGTCCATGGTCCCTCAGTCTAAGTTATCTGAAATAGATATCTACTCCCGACGTTTATCCCGAGATAGTGGCATGGACATAAGTGATGAAATTAATGAAGAAGATTTAAAGGTATTCATTTGAATTTTCAATGGTAACCTTTTCATATTCATCACAGCTTATCTAGTAAAACTTACTAGTATTTGGAGGTGTGTGTGTGTGTGTGTGTGTGTGTGTGTGTATGTGTGTATAAGTAAGTAAACTTTGGCCTTTCACCACATTGCAGTAGGGAGAAGAAATTTGGATTAGTATACAAGTGACCTAAAAGTATCAAGAGAACAAACTGTTTTCAGGCTTTTTTGAAGTATTCATTTATATTCAGTGGAAATTTGTGAAGTCAGCAGAAGCTACCTGGGCTGATATTGGGCTGGTGTTTTACTATGGGAAAGTGGGTTTCCTTAGGGAGTTTCAGATGCACTACTTGAAGGAAAAAGGGTCCAGGTCAGCATAGGAATAGGTTCCTTGTTGGTAGAGGGAATGCCCTGTAAGGAAACTCCTACCAATATACATTAGCACTTGTTTTGCAATTTATAAAGAATGGCCTAGGATTTAAAAAGTTAAGTGACTTGCTTGGAGTCACAAAGTCAACTTGTATCAGAATCCTCAGTAGCCTAGTGGATAAAGCATTAGCTTCCTAAACCAGGAGTTATGGGTTTAAACCCTATATGGAATAAGTATTTTTTTTATCCTCAAAACTCCTACACATTGCTAACTAATTAAGGAGGGATGTGAATAATTTGTGGCTATTTTTATTATATATATTACAGATTTGAGAGCTGGAAGGGCCTTTAGGGGTGAGCTATTTTAACCCCTTCATTTTATAGAGTAGAAAATTGAAGATAATGTATAACTTGTCCAAAGACAGTTAGGCAGCACAGGCGGAGCTAGGATTTGATCCCCTCTGCCCTCTGACTCAAAATCAAGTGTACGTTGTACTATATCATCCTGTCCCTCGTCTCAGTGTCTACTTGAATCTATGTGCAACTTGACACTGAGACTACCTATGAAAACCTCTCTGAACCTAAATCAAACCTTATATTTTGTGTGCCCACAGTATAAATGGAACTCTAACATATGGACAGAAATGTAAGTGACAGCACCATTCTTTTCCTCTAGAAGTTTATATTATGCAAAGGATAGTGCTTGTTCAGATCAACACTATATGCTGCTATGCTAATGTAGTCATATATTAGTATGCCATGTGTATATTTACATACATGTCTATGAATATATGCATATACATATATGTGTATGTGGATACATATCTACATTCACATGTGTGCATATGTAGATGCTGACAGGCTTTATCTTATTTTGGAAAGAGTAGTAGATCTGGAATCAGGGAATCTAACTTTAAATCTGAATTCTTTACTGGTTAGCTATGTGACCATGGGTAAATCGCCCAACCAAAGTTTCATCATATGAGGTGGTAGAGTCCAAAGGAAAGGACATTGTAATTGGAGTCAGATACTCAAGTTCAAATCCCGTTCCATGAGTTACTCTTGTGATTCTGGGAAGCTGGTTATACGTCTTGGGGCCTCAGTTTCCTCATTTACAAAATAAGGGAGGGGAGATTGAACCTGATGAATTCTGAGGTCCCTTCTAGCTCTAAATCTGTGTTTACCTTTTAAATGAGGGAATTGGACTGTGTGATTTCCAAGGTCTCTTGTAGCTCTGAAACATATCCATTTATATTATATTTATGTCATCCAAAATGAGTTCTTTCTATACAAATAAAAATTTTAGGAAAGTTCATGTATTTAGACTCATCCACCAGGGCTTGTTTAAATTCTGGTGTATCACAAATGAGTATCAAAGTATGGATAAATTTTCTAAAAAATTATGGTTTTTAAGAATTGAAAATCTGATCAAGTGCTTCAGTAAGTGGAAAGATAGATAATTTTAAACCTCACATGAATGAAAAAATACATTTTTCAGAAATGGAAAAAAAGCTTATTTTTTAAAAAGTTTTTCATTTTACTTAAATCAAGAAAGTTTATGTGAAAGTGTCCAAGAGACTTTCAAGGTGAGCTTTGTTTTCAATTATGTCACACTAAGATTATAGATCATTTTGTTATTTAATTTAGATGCTATGTTTTGATAACCCTTACCAGGTCTGCATATATATGGAATAAGATTTTTCCTGGGAAAGTATTTACCATTTGCTTTCCTGGGCCATAATAAATATGGAACATTAATATGGAACATTTAAAGACTACTACTCAGACTTCAAAGAATAAAAATTGGGGGCCATACGCATACAAGTTTTGTTAGCTGCTTCTGAAAAGAGAAGATGTAGCAGGTTAATTGACACATTCTTCCACTATCTAGTAAAATGACCTTGGATAAATCACTTAACCTGTTTGTGCTTCAGATTCCTCATTAGAAAATTGAGGAATTGGGGCATAATGATGTGGTTTCCTTGACCTCAACAATTGTTCTACATAAGAACTCAAAACACCATTTGATTTCAATCTGAAAGGATTTTTCAAACGTCAGCCTAAAGGTTTCCTTTTCCTTTTTTAAGGATATAAGAAAGCAATCTCTTTTCTGCTGATAGATCCATTATCAAAGGGAATCACTCCCTATTGTACTTTTTTTTTTTTTAGTGAGACAGTTGGGGTTAAGTGACTTGCCCAGCATCACACAGCTAGAAAGTGTTATGTGTCTGAGGTCAGATTTGAACTCGGGTCCTCCTGACTCCAGGGCCAGGGCTCTGTCCACTGCACCACTTAGCTGCCCCAGAACTTTGTGCTTTCTCTCCAAAGTCTGAGAACTGAAAGAATCACAGAGCAGAAGATCATAGAAACACAAATTTAGGTGAAGAAGTCCAACTCTTTCATTTTGTAATTGAGGAAACTGAGGCACAGAGATATTAAGTGATTTGTCCTGTAAGATCACATAAGCTAGTAATTATCTGAGGCACAATTCAAACTCAGATATTCCTGGCCTTAAATCCAATACTCTATCTACTATGCCATTTAACTGCCTCATCATTAAAGCTGGAAAAGACATTAGGGGAAAAAAAAACCCTACAGAGCAAATTAGGTAGTTCTAGGACTATTATTTGTTTATTAGTATGAGTTTATTCTGAGTCCTTCTGAGAGGCTTGACTATCCCACCATTTTACCTGGTCCATCCATTCTTTAACCATTTGGATTTTATCTGTCTAGGACACTAATTACAATAGAAACCCAGAAGAGATCCAAAATAATAATCTTGTAGTTACCTCATTACTGTACATGAGAGAAAATTGTAAACTTGGGGGAATCCCTAAAGATCCAGAGAAGATTATTTTAAGGCCTATCCCATAAAAAACTTGCACTTTGAAAAATTCCATACCACAATTTAAAACAATAATGTTATCCATGGCATTCAAGAATACTTTATATATCATTTCAATGTTCATAGATTTTTAGATATTATGATTTAAAAATCCCATTCATTTATATTCCTTTTGTGTAATAAGTAACATGGACTAGCATATGAATAATTTGTTTTTAAGTAATTATTCAGTTATCCAGTTACTTGAGATATGGATACCCTAATTTGAAAAATTTAATATTTCCTGGTTTTGAAAGGGATGTGATATTTGCTATAGAATCAAGCTGATAACATCATAAATTTTCCTTACATGTATTTTAAATTCCTGAAAATTCTATAGATATCAGAAAATAACATTGTAGTTATTTCTGCCTACTCAATTAAAAATATGAATGTAGTGTGGTCCAATTTTGGACCATTACAAATAATCATGGTCATTTTTTCCCCAGGAGTGGTTTTTTGATGATGTAGAAAACATCCCATCTGTTACCACATGGAACACCTACCTCAGATATATTACTGTTCATAAGAGATTAGTTTTTGTGCTAATTTGGTGCCTCGTTGTTTTTCTGGTTGAGGTAAGAATGTTCTACTTATAATGAATTATTATCATTCCAAATTAAGAATACAATTTTCAATCTCATTGTGAAAGTTACTCTCAAAAATTTATGTACGCACATTTGGTATCTAGGAGAGAAAAGGGTAATGCTTATAAAAGGGTGTAGAGTGAGGCTGTTATTCAAAGGCATGTTAGAGACCAGACTAGAAAGGTAAATGGAATTAGAGAAGAGGTAAGTTTTGTCTTAGAGAAAAGGACCATTCTGAATAGGGAATAATTATTTGCATAGTGTCTGCTATCTACCAGGCACAGTGCTAAGTGCTTTTACAAACATTTTCCTATTTGATCCTCACAAGAACCCTGTAAGGTAGGTGCTATTATTATCCCTGTTATACAATTGAGGAAACTGAGGCAAATAGAGGTTAAGTAAATTAGCCAGGGTCCCACAGCTAGTAAATGTCTGAGAGTGGATCTGAACTCATGTCATCCTGACTCCAGGCCTGATGCTCTATCTACTGCCCCACCAACAGCCTCTATCAAGAGAAGTGTAGATGGTTAGCTATGACATTCCTTAGATGAATGAAATAGAAATAAATAAATTTGATGATATTTGAACTAGGAGATAGAAAAAGAAGATAAGGCAATAGAGAGAGAGAAAGGAGATCAGAGCAGAGTGAAGAGCAAAACATGCCGATGAAGAAAAGAAGAGGAACCTAAATCATTCAAGACTGACCTACCTTAGACATATAGGCAGTTATTTGTAAGAAATTGTATGGCCATATGTAATATATGGATGGTTATCATAAGCACAGCAGTGAGTCTGAAGATGGAGAGCTGTCTCTCTTCACTAAAGATGAAGCAATGATGAATTAAGCTAATGAACAGTAAGCAGATTTTTAAGTACTATGGAGATAGTGCCTCCCATCTGCAATTTCTGAGAAAAAAATGTTGGCCCATATAAATAACAGGACTAATTTCAGCACAAGACCTTTATGGATGAAATAGACAGTTCTGCCTCATATGGTTTAGGTTGACCTTTCCTCTAGTATTATTTTTAGTTAGGCCAGAGTAGTTCTGAAATCAGTGCAAGGGAAGGACTTTATTCAGCTGACTCACTTATGACCCCACTCACTACACCAGAAACTCTTCTGATATAAGTGCCCCTCCCTGCCTACTACTTTCCTTTCACAGACTCTCCTTGTTTTTTGTATTTGTACCCCACCAGGATTTAGCACAACTTTTAGCAGGAGGTAAGTGCTTAAAAATGCTTTTTCATTAATCCATCCATTCATTCATTCATTCTCAGTGGCTGATCTGTAGGTCACTTTTGTACTAATAAACTGCTAAATCCTTAGGTTATGTGGGAATTACTAGTCTCTGGAGGTTTCTTCAGTTATTATCCAGGGCAAGGGCCTCCTAGGGATATTCTAATTGAAAGTTACCTTTTGGTCCTAAAGTCTATACTTTATCACCTGGATTTAGATGAAAAGAGGCCACTATCTAAGGACAAGACAGAGCCCTACATTTTTCTTGTTGTTTGTGTAGTCCTTCCAGGGACTCCAAGAGTTTTTCTTAGCAATGATACTGAAATGATTTGCTATTTCCTTCTCCATCTTATTTTACAGATGAGGAAACTGAGGCAAATAGAGGTTAAATGACTTGATTAGGATCATATAGCTAATAAATATCTGAGGTCGTATTTGAACTCAGGTTTTCCTGAATCTGGGCCCAGCACTCTGTCCACTGTGCCACCAAATGCTCCCTGGGCAGGTGTTGGTGGCAGGTTTCCCCCTTTTAGGAAATGATTAATTAAAAGTTGCACAACAGGAAAAAAAAATGGTACTTAACAGTCATGTAATTAATCTTGGACAGTCTTGCCAAATGATCATCATTAATATGAATTAAACTCAACCCTTTGACACAGTAAATCCCAAACCAATACTTCAAAGTTATTAATGGCCTGAGCTCCTGGGTTGAACGGTTGTAATGTTTGTCCTCAAGTTAAAAAGTTATATAAGTCGAAGTTCATGGAATGATATAAACAAAGTTGTCAGAAAAGAACAGGTGATTATTTTTATATATGTATCCGTATCACACACATGTGTGGATATATACATATGTATGTATGAAAATAAATATATATAGATATGTAGATATGTGCACATATATATCTACATATCTATATCGATATATAGGTTTTTTTAAAAGCACATCTTTATCCCATAGATTTGGACTTCGGCATCTTTCAAAAGAACAACCTATATTGTTCAAGAAAAGTCAATAATGTCTGAAATTGGGTAAGGTCCTCATCTATGTGATCTGGATCCTTAAGGGTTTGCCATTTTTTAAAGGGTATTATCTATACTGTGGATTTAGTTGTAGGGGGTAGGGACCAGATCAATTATTTTATTGCTAAAAGAAACTAGGAAATGAGTAAACTCCTTCTACCAGTGCAAGTTTGCACATTCTCCAAAACGTTATTCTCTTGATGCTAAGATTAAAGGACTTGCCCCCAGTCAAACAACTAGTATATGTAAGAAGTGGGATTTAAGTTCAGGTCTATGTGGTTCTAAGGCTGGATCTTTAAGCATAAGCTATGCTATTTCTGTTACAGAGAAGCATTATGGGATAGGGGAAAGAGTTTTGATTTTGACACCAGAGAACCTGGGTTCAAAATCTTGTTTCTGGTGATTACTACCTGTTTGAATTTAAGAAAAGTCCCTGGCCCTCAATTTCCTCATCTGTAAAATGAGGTTAAAAAAAAAAAGATGGTGGTTCATTCTAGATATTGGGTTTAGATATATTAGAAATATTTTTTTCACTCTTGAAAGTGCATTCTGAGGATTTGATTGTTTTTATGAAATTCTGTCTAGAGCTAAAAAAAAATTAAGATCCTTTGGTGAATGGAGATAGACAGAAACATTACCTTGTGTTTTTATGCTAATGTATTTATGTACATCCTATAGTTGACTCAAACTATTTTTAAGAGGTTAAATGCTATATTATTGAAGTTACTACCATGGATGTCAAATAGAGCCAGTCAAATAAAAGAGACATTTACATTCCAATTCTTGTTATAATTTTAAAATTTTAATTACTCTAAAGGCATTTTAAAGAAACAGTCTTAGCTTTCTTGGCATCTAGGTAGCACAGAGGCACACTCTGCTGGGCCTGAAGTCAGGAAAACCTGAGTTCAAATGTGACTTCAGACACTTAGTGTCACTCAATGTCTATCTGCCGCCATTTCCTAAACTCTCAAAGGCAAATAATAATAGCAACTACCGTTACAATGTTGTTGGGATGATCAAATGAGAAAATATTTGTAAAGTACTTAATGTGGTACCTGACACATAGTAGGCACATTATAAATGCCTGTTTCCTTTCTTCTTTTATTAAGTGATTTATGTCTGTTTTACAAATATATGTGAAATGGTATGAGTTAATTACTATTACATAAAAGAAATTGTAAATTATGTATAACTGCCTCAATAATGTAAATGTATTGAAATCTGTTCAAGAATGTTGACTTTTTATATATAAAAATATGATAATTTGGGGGGAGATTAGGAAAAATCCAAGACTGACATATAGAAACCATAAATATCTTTGGCAACTTCCTTTTCAGCTTTTCAAACTAGCAGGTTTTTTTTTTTTAAACCAAACCTATGATTTTATTAGCGTAGTGAACTCATGATAAGGAAATTCTCTTTATTAATACAGGTGTGACTTACTTAGCACAGTACCAGGCACATAGTAAGTGCTATATAATTGTTAGCTATTTATGATTAGCTGTCACTTCATCTCAGTACACTGCCTGGAGCATCAGAAGGTTAAATGACTTGCCTAAAGTCAGAGAGCTGGTATGTGACAGGCAGGACTGGAAGCCAGGCCTTCCTGACTCCAAAGCCAGGTCTCATATTCACAGTGCCATGCTGCTTCTGTAGCAGGTGTATTACCAGAACTTTATATAATTAAGACATGATGAAACTCCCCAAGGGAGAACTGACAATTGCATTATAAATAACCTAAATTCTGCTTCTAGTCACAGTATACCTTTATGGTATATTCCTTTTTTTAAAAAAATTGTTTTTATGAGATCTTTTGTTGTAACATCCTTTAGATTTTTCCCCTTTCTCTTTCCTTCTCCCCTTCCAAGAGAGCCATCCCTTATAAATTTTTTTTTAAAAAAAGAGAAAGATAAATGAATTCAGCTAAATTGGTCAATATATCAAACAAAAAATCGACATTATGCTGAATGTTCCGCATATTCCTTCCCATCCTTCCTTACCTCTACAAAACAGTAGGGTGGAGATATCCTCTCATATGTCTTCTTTGGGGACAAAATTGTTCTCTACAATTTTATAACATTAATTTTTAATTGTTTTATGGTTGTTCTATTCATTTACATAGTTGGAGTCATTGTATGTATTATTTTACTGGCTGTTTACTTCACTTTGCCTCAGTTCCTATATGTCTATCTGAACTTCTCTGTATTCCTTATTTTTGTCTTATCTTACACCTCAGTGATATTCCATTGCATTCATGTACCACAATTTGCTTAACATTTCTCCAACAGATGGGCACATCTACTTTGTTTCAGGTTCTTTGCGGCTACAAAAAAATGCTACTATAAATATTTTAGTATATGTTGAGCCTTTCTTTTTATCAGTGACTTCCTTTGGGTTTGTCCCTAGTAGTGGGTTCTTGATGGTTACATAGAACTGTTCTACTCTAAAGCTACTATTTACTTAGGATAACCTTGAATATAGTAGAATATCATCTAAGACCCTCAGACTTGCAAAGTTGAACATTTTATTGTCGTCTATGGTCATTGTTGACAACTTTGTGGTTTTCTCTAATTAAAACTTAGGATGATTTAAAAAAAAGAATATCCCTATATTAATACCTAGGAAATATGACAATTGATGAAATTGAATATTTACATACTCATATTGGAAGTATTGCCACAGTATCATGGTAAAACGCACTTAACTAGCTTTTCTCTTTCTACTCTTATTGCTATCAAGGCGCTCATGGTTGTCCTCATAATGCCCAAAAAAACAGAGCAGGGCTATTCTTTCCTTATGAAATGGTTCTTCCTCTTCCTTACCCACTCCCTTTTTTCCCTGAGGCTTAACCAGTGCCAGTTTTTTATTTGTACTTCTTCATTTTGGATTTTACATTATTTTAGATAAAGACCTCATTTACTTCTCTTTTAATTCTCTTTTAATTATGACAGCACCTTTTTAATATGTTAAAATTAGTAAAGAATGCAATGTTCTAATCAATAAATTAACAAGCATTTAAATGCCTCCTATATGACTTTAGCTCTCAGCATTCAATCCTTAATACTTAGACATTCAATTTTAAATTATATTAAAGTTTTAAAAATTCTTGAAGGACTACTCAGTTTTTATTAGTAGTTCTGAGTGGCATAGCAGAATTTGTTATGTAGAGATAATATACGACTAACAGATGAGTAGTCACTTCCCTCGTCTGTGAAATGAGATTGGACTAGATAATTCTTAAAGTGTCTCCTTGTTCCCATATTCTGACTTAAAAAACTAACAGGTTGGGAGACTTTCTAATGGCTTCCTTCTTGGTGTGCAACTTGGGCTTCCATCCTTAGTTATCAATAAAATTGTTAGGAAATCCTTCTCCAGTAATGATCTTCTGGTTGAAATGACATCTAGTCACTTCAGTTAGTGAATTTAGTTCTTATGGAATTCATTTTTAGTATTTGATTTGACTTGCTTGAAATTTCTATAAAAATAAATGTGTGATTTCAGCATTTTTCTAAATAATTTTTTTTAATTTCTGTGCTTCCAATGTGAGAAGCAGTGTAGTATAGTGGATAGAATACTGGTATTGGAGTTAGAAAGATCTGAATTCAAGTACTGCCTTTTACATTTACTAGCTCCTCTGACTATGAGCAAATCGTTGAATCTTTAAGTGCTCCCAAATAGCTCTCTAAGACTGTAAACTACAGATGAGTGCTCAATCTGCATAGGTAGAAGAAATTTCCACTTCAGAAGTTCTGTATACTGATGCCATCACAAGTCTGGACTTCTAACATTCTCCCTTCACATTTCTTCTTTCTCCTTTCCCCTCCCTTTTCCTCAGTCTTGCTTTGTTTATGACTCGGTATTTTGTTGCTAAAGTTAGAGCTTTCCAAAGAAAGCAGTTAAGCCTCTTAAATTTTTCATATAATGCATAAAGTACAGTCATTCATTCAACAAGTAGTTATCAAGAGATATTCTATATCAAGCAGCTGTACTGGGATCTGTGAGGTAGGTACAAAGATGTATAAAGACCTGATATGACTTGTATACAGATAACTGCAATACTAGGTATCAGGTTCTAAGGAAAGAATGAACGATAATACAGAGAGTACGAACTAAAATAGTAAAGATGGAGAGATAGCTTCTGCTGGGAACGATCATTTGCATTAGCCTTTTTTTAAGAAAAGAAACTTATTTATAAAAATGGGTGGAATTTCATTAGGTAGAGGTTTTGGGTGAGCAGATGTGTGTTTGAGGGGTGGTATGATATGATGGTATCATGGTAATGGTGGCACAGACAGGTATTTTAGTCAGAGGAAATGGCATGAATACAGATGTAGCAGTGAGAAACTGTAAGAGATAATGAAGGAATGATCAGTAAAAATTTGAAAAAAATAAGGGGCTTCTTTTACCTAGTATGTATTCAGCCAACATTGAATGAATGAACAAATGAATATTATGGATGAATGGATGAATATTATGTGAATAGTGGGGAAATGGCATAAAATGTAAATAGAGAACAGATTTCGGAGGATCTTGAATGCCTGGCTAAAAAAAGAAATCTTTTAATCTTTCAAGCAATAGGAAGCCATGGAAAGCACTACAGCAGAGGAGGATTGTTATCAGATTGGTGTTGTAAGAAGATAAATTTAAGGGCAGCTAGGTGGCGCAGTGGATAGAGCACTGGACCTGAGTTCAATTTCAGTCTCAGACCAGACACTTGACACTTACTAGCTATGTGACCCTGGGCAAGTCACTTAACCCCAATTGCAGAAGAAGAAGAAGAAGAAGAAGAAGAAGAAGAAGAAGAAGAAGAAGAAGAAGAAGAAGAAGAAGAAGAAGAAGAAGAAGAAGAAGAAGAAGAAGAAGAAGAAGAAGAAGAAGAAGAAGAAGAAGAAGAAAAATGTGGTGGCATTTTGTTTGATGGATTGCAAGGAAGAGAGAATGGAGACAAGAGATATCAAATAGAGGAAGCAACTGCAATAGGCTAGATATTATATGATAAAGGTCTAAACTAAAGTAGAGGGGCAAGGGAAAGGATATACATTTAAAAACAGATAGTGAAGCAAGAATTGATCCAACTTGTTAATTGGTTGGAAGTGGAAGTGACAGGCTTTGTACTTGGGTTACCAGGAAAATACCCATACCATTACTGGAAGTATGGAAATCAGAACTAATTTGTCAAGAGACAAGGAAAATGAGAAGTTTAAGGGATAGTAAGAAATCTAAGTAGGAATATCAGCAGGTGGCTGGAAATTAAGGCTGGAGCTTGGGAGGGGAAGTCCAGACTGAAGATATAGATAAAATAGGTACACATAAATTAATACTTGGTTTTAGTTGTGTAATCGTTCTAATTTCCCTATATTACCTGGCATTACCTTTCTTTATCTACCTTAGCCCTTAGTTCACTTGTCTATAAAATGGAAATGATAAATGATTTACATGGTACATTAACATTTATAATGAGCTTTCTTTACAACTTTCTAAGGCTAGCAATACAAATATTTTCATTTTTATACTTACTTTCCGGGCCTGCCACGAAAGGAATATTTCTCCTTGACCAGAATTTTTCATATTTAGAAGTCTCCCACTTCTATACGAATGCCTGTTATATCAGCATAACTATACTTTATCTTCCTAGATAGATTTTTAAAGAACTTTGGGCTCTTTTTCTTCAATTAGAATTTTTATTTCTCTTCATGCATCTTAATCTTCTTATAATAGATGGCTTTGTGGGTAATAGAATCAAGCATCAATTGTGTGAAATGTGCAGTGCTTTCTGCAACTAACCAAGATTCTTATGTAATTCTCTGCAGTCAGGGTGAGGAGTATTTTGCTATTGTATCAGCCTGCTCAGGGCTAATACCCAGTTGCAAGTGCTCTTAATAATTGTTCCTAGTGGTTTGCAGAATTCTCTTTTCAAAACTCCGTGGTGCCACTCCCAACTCCCTCTCCCCAAAAAAGAAGGAAAAAGACAAATATGAATAAACCATTTATAAAATAAATAGAACAGAAGGAAAATCAGAGATACAGACAAGCAGGGCAGGATTGGCGTTATCAGGCTTAATTTATTAGAGACTTTAAAAGTAGGATAGACAAAATTGAGTAAGTCTCTCATATGCTATTCTTTTGTTTCTATTCTTTGTGTATGGAAATGATCATATTCGTTAGTGTCTATCACATTCACAATAAAAAAAAAGGCAAAAAAATTAAGAAAAAAAATACTGACAAAGTTTTGCCAAATTTTATGTTCAGATGCTTCATATGGAAAATGTTACTTGGGACTGTGAATGAACTTTCACAGACTCATTCATGGAACCAGTAAAAAGTGATTTTTCCCATTCAAATGCTTTCACTATAACCTTATCCCTCCTGATAAGATTCGATTAATTTTCCTGTGGATTGATGGAAGAAATGACAAAGTATTTTATTCTGATACAATTTAAATTCCGTTCTCTTAAACATACTGGTTCTGGGGACAATTATTACAGCTGCTGAACAAAACAAAACAAAAATGCGTGTGCTTTCAGGGAGTGGAGGATATTGACAAAAGCACTGTTTGGCAGGGGAAAATTTAACTGTTTGTTGTCCTGTTGCAGGTGGGCGCTTCTTTGGTTGGGTTTTGGATCCTTAAGGAGTGAGTACCCATGTTGTGAATTTTGTCTTATTTCTAATGTGTCTTTAAAAATATTTTGCTATGCATTAAGCTTACTCTTTTTTGTGAGAGGGCAGGGGAACAATGAAATTTGTTTCAAAGTTCTGCTGATCTAGATTATATTTTCTATTTTCTCTCTGCCTGGTTCTCTATTAGTTCTACTGAAAAAGAAAAGACTTGATTATGTCCATATCCTATTGTCCTCTGTTGGTTCCTGGAAGAAAAGATTTGCACCTAGTTTTCTCTGAGATTCAGTGACAACTCTGGGGACCAATTCGAACATGAAATTTTTTTCATGTTTTTTCAAAGATTTTCAAACATGAAATCTTTTTTTTTTTCATGCTTTAATTTGTTTCAAAAGTTAAAGTAGACTGGCTTTGGCCATGGTATGATAAACTCTTTTCATGCTCTGAAAATCTCAATTAGTAGTTCACCTTCTCTAGTATGTAAAATTTTTAGGATCCATTAAACTCAAAGTCAGTATTGTTTATGTTTTTGGAATAATAAAACAAAGAGGAATCTCCAATGGCTGAATAATTACTTCATCTTTGTTTTACAGGACCTCTCTTAAAGATAAAACAAATTCAAGTGGGACCAATAGCACCTATGCAGTCATTATCACCGACACCAGCAGATACTATTTGTTTTATATTTATGTGGGAGTAGCTGACACATTTTTTGCCCTGGGAATGCTCAGGGGCTTACCTCTGGTGCATATGCTAATATCAGTCTCCAAAATTCTGCATCACAAAATGTTATGCTCCGTTTTGAAAGCGCCTATGTCAACCTTCAGCAATTTGAAAGCAGGTACTTTGATGAAAGAATGTACTGTCCTTTGTGTGAAATAAAACTATTGATCCCCAGGGACATGTGACCTTAGTTGTTTTTTTTTTCAGTTGTGATGGATTTGCACTGAAGCACCCACTTTTTTTTGTCCAATCCCTCTAGTGACCAATAACATACATTTACAAAGGTAGCATCTATAGTTTATTTGTTTGTCTATTTACTAAGATTTTTAGGTCTTATCATGGTCTCTTCAGTCAATTAGGTTACCATAATTTACTAAAACATCACATCATTGAAGTCATGATAGCAAAATTTGTCCTCATGTCAAGTCTAGATAGCTGCACAAGCCTGGTCAGAGGCAGCTAATGCAGTGGAGAGTAGTAGGCCTGAATTCAGGAAGACAAGTTTAAACCTGGTCTCAGACACTTACTAGCTGTGTGACCCCTTGGCAAGTTTCTTAACTTTTTTTTGCCTCAGTTTCCTCAACTATAAAATGGAATTAATAATGGCTTTCCTTTTATAAAGAAGCTTAAAGAAGGGGAAGAACTTTAATGTCAGACATCTATTTTAAATCCAAGTCTCAAAGAAAAAATAACAGTCTTTATCTCTCAAGTTTGCATTCAGATCTTGTTTGCTTTTGTGTTCAGGGCATACATAAAGACTTGCACATCTAAAGTACTTTGATATCCTCACATTCATTAGCTTGTCTGATCTTTCTGATAATTCATTGAGATATGTAAGGAAAATATCATCATAGCTGAATGAATAGAAAATATACCTTAGAAAGACAAGCACTTCAGCATTCTCTGTTTATGAACCAGAAAGTATTAGAGGCAGAAGGAATTTTAGAAATCATATAGTCCAGTTCCCTCATTTAACAAAAGGAGAAGCTCAAAGCCAGAAAGAGTAAATAATTCACTCAAGGTACCAGTTATTGTTAGTGTATGTGGCAGAAGTGATACCAGAACTCAAATCTTCTGACTTTTATTGTAGCGTACTTTTCATCATATCTTACCACCTGCCTGAGTTCCTCATACCTTTGAAGGCTACTAATAAATCATATCTCAATCTTCCCTATCCCCTTAAATGTTTCTGGTGAATCTTTTTTTTTCCAACATTTTAATTATGGGTCTGCTCTGAGGCGCTCCAGGTTATAGAGAATTGAACACAGTGACCTCAGAATACTAAAAATGATTCTGCTTTTTTAAGCTGAAAGGGACCCTAGACATTATCTGCTACAATACCCTCATTTTATAGGGTTTTAATATTTCCCAAAGAGAGTTTCCCAAAGAGAGTAAGTAATGTGAAGCAGTAGAGATGGAATTTAAACCCTCATACTTTGATTCCAAATCCAGTTCTCTTTCCACCTCCAAGTATAATGTTAGAGTTACCTAATCCTACCACCATCTCCAGCCTCACACACCCTGTCTGATTCTTATTTACTTCTTACACCACATTATGATTTGTGGTTCATTTTTTATCCATTGAGACAGCTAGATGTTTTTTCTGTTATAATTAAGTCTCCATTTTATATCTGCCTTTTGGTTTTGATCCCCAGCTATTCAACAGTATTTATCTTTGTTGAATTTATTTTCTTGTCTCTGATTATTTCTCTCATTTTCCAGTCATTTATTTAATATTTACTTAAATATTTAAGAATATTTAAGTATAGTGTCATGTGCAGAGTTGATTGAGTCAAGGAATTCTGACATTTTGAGAGAAAGCCTTCATTTGAAATGGAATAAAGGCTGTGTTCATAATTTTTTTTTTCCTGAAACTGCTTTTAATTTTCACAAACTCTGTAGATTTATTATTGACATTTCTTTCTTTATTGAAACAAATGTATAAATGCACATAGTCACTTATGCTGTGGACTTTTCATATTTACAGATAGAGGGCAAAAGTGTGATTATATAACCTTTACTTAGGGTTATGGATCAAGAGTTGGAAGAGACCTCAAAGGCCATCTAGTTCAATCACCTTATTTTATTACTGAAGAAATTGTGTCCCAAATAGGTTAAGTGACTTGCCTGAGATCACACAGGAAGTCACATGGACTGTTAATAGTAAGAGGAGTGTAACTTTCCCATTTTTTATAAAGAGCAAAAGTAAATAGGCCTACATGTAGAAAGATGAGAACTGAACCATATTTGTTTTCAGACATCACAGCATGTGATAAGTGGACAATTTTGCATCTGTTGCCTAACTTGTAATTATTAAACAAACTCAGTGGCATACATAATATTCTCTCTGAAGTTCTTAAAGGGGACCAGAAGAGTTCTGGGAGGTCTCTGCTAGCCTATGAGTCTATTGTTTAAAAGGTGCAAAGGAAAAGAAATGAATATTCACTTGTACTTGCTTATATTGGTACAGGAAATTAGGCAGGGGTATGTTGATTAATGTTTAACAACAGCTCTCTAAAAAAAATATACTCAGACACTTTCAATTTTGATCTGCATTATTAACATTTTTCTATCATTTTCTTGAATCTAGACAATCAACAAAACAACAAATGAAGTCCTCATTTAATGTTTGCTGATTTCTGAGATATAAATGCTTACACTGAAAATTTAACTTTACAGCTCTTTCAAGTTGGATTGAGATAGCTCCAGCATACCCCTGGATTAAGCCAAATTAAATTATAACTGCTAAATTGACCTGTTTTGAGAATTTTCTGGGGATTTTGAAAAATGTATTCTCTCTTTTAACTTACTCCTACTTTTTTGCTGATTGGGGCAATATATAGTAATTTGATTTTTGGTATTATGAGGAAAAAATTGATATTTATACAGCTAAGAACTTTATACACATTATCTCATTTGATACTCAAAACAATCTAGTAGGGTAAGTACTGTAGGCATTATTATCCTCATTTTATAGATGAGGGAAATGACTTAGGTCTTGTGACTCACTCAGGGTTAAATAGACAGTATAAGTCAGTGAAAAGATTCCATCCCAGGTTTTCTTACCTCTAGATCCTATGGGGTTTTTTAAGTTTTGTGTGTTTTTTAACTACTTAGAAAAATCTGTAGAGAATCTCCATTAGTAAATAGTTAGTCTTTTGTTTCATTAAATTAAAAAGATGCCAGGAACCTCAGTACATTACAGTTACACTAAGGTACTTATGTGGATTAGAGGATGAACACAGACTGTTGGATGTTGTTTGTGACCAAAGATAAAAGGTCCTCTGTGGTCAGAGATTTTCCCCCTGAAACTTAACAGAAAATGGTTATGTCTAAAAATACAAGATGATACTGTAAACACTATTATAAAACAATCAACATTTTTGAAGTTCTAGGTCAACTGAAAGCACATTGCTCCTATCCCTCTACTTTAGAGATAATCAAAAATGGACTCTGTAAATTCATTGAAAGGCTGTTTCTTTCTTTTGACCTTTAGGTGGAATTCTGAACCGTTTCTCCAAAGACATAGCAATTCTAGATGACCTTCTGCCACTTACAATATTTGACTTCATCCAGGTTTGTAAAATAACCCTTCTCCAATAGAATTTGTTGCTTTAGTCTTTTAAAATAAGCTTAAGTTTAAGTATTTAATTGAGTATTTGTCCACATTTAATTTAGACTTTGAGGTATTTTCCCTTGTGTAGAATTTGGTAAGAAAGAGTGCTTTTAAAATAAAATGATAATGGGAAACCAAAAGGAATAGTACAGTTGAAAAATCAATGCTATGTCAGAGGAACTGATTCTTTATACCAAGAGATGAGGGCCAGCAATACACACACGGGTAATGTAGTTAGCTACCTCTATCATATAACTTTTGAGGGACATTGCAAGCCTTCTCTGACCTGTGATATCTCCAACATAGGCTTGTGTTGTGATGAAATTCAAAGAATGAGAGTTTTTCTACGGGAGTTAAAACATTATGCCTTGAAAAGCAATCTGTTAAAATACAAATATTTTTCTTGGAAGAGGTAGCACCTTAACATACAGCATGTCCCCAAAGTCTTAGTGCAGTTTTAAGCTATAAAACCTTAACACTACTTTAAGACTTTTGGGACACCCTGTGCATTCACTGGCCAGTTGACTGAAGACATGGAAAACCAGACTGATTCATATGGATGCTTGGAAGAGAAAAGTCCAGAGCACAGGACATTGCCCTGAAGACTGTTCTTGAGTGATTTAGAAATGGGGGTAGAAGTGAATGAAAGGTATTTGAAGAGGAAGGAGGGGGCATGGTTAGGCAAGGTGGGCAGTTGTGCAAGATTAGGTTTGCCTACCTAACAATTTTGCCTAGGGCCTATCCTGGTTTGGGAAACCACATTAGATCCCTATAAGCTACAGAATGTCAGCTATGACATCATTTGATAACCTTGGCCTTTAGTACACATATGACTAAGGCTTCCTATCTAGATTTCACCATCAGCATCCAAAATCATAAATGCCACAACTATAATCATCTGCAGTGGCAACAGATGGAGTACGATATGATCACTCCCCTCAACTTCCACCTCCCCTAACCTCACTAACTAAAAGGAAGAAACTCATATTGTTGTGTTAGAAAGGAGATAGAAAATCAAAATAGGAAAGATGATATGCACGTTTATACTGAAAGCACATTGTTAGAGGCAAAATAATCAAAAGGTCGCTTTACTTCACACTGAAACAAGCAAGCAATCTAATGAATTTCCCATTCCAAATGAGTGGCACTGTTTTGGGTTTGACACAGTTTCCTCTATTTCAAGTTGCAACTCATGACAGTAGCTGTTGGAATCCTAATAGATTACTTGAGACCAGTAATAAAACGAAAAAAATATATATTTCTTTTTTGTCTATGAATTCTAACAATTTGTTCCTCATTCCAGAGTTACACATGACCAGCCCTGAAAGAATAAGTATGGAAGCCAAAGGCATAGTTGCAACAGCATTAATTCAGTTCAACTCTCTTTGGCCTTTCTTTTTTAATTGTTTCTTCTCTTCATCATTTTTTGAAATAGTCTAAGACTGATTTCAAAAATTCTCTGGGGGAAGTTACTTTTAAATAAGTATTTTATAGATTAAATAACACTTTTGAAAACATCTAATGGTTCCTATGCCCATTTTGTGTATGTGTGTATGTGTGTGTGTGTGTGTGTGAGACCGACTATGAGTATAATCTTTCTTACATTATTCTTTCCAGTGATTCTTATTCTGGTTTATAACTGATATGAGTTACATTTTATCCACTCCCATTCATTCATTCATTCTATCAATAAACTTTTGTTAAACATGTATACTATGAGCTATTATACTATGCTATTATATTAGAGCTATGTTAGTGTCTTGGAGTTTTTTGTTTTATGTTTTTTGCTTTTCAGTGCTTAGGACAGAAACTTACACATAATGTAGGCTCATCCTCCAAGAGATTGCAGCCTATCAATAGCTTAGTAAATACATCTTACAGAGCTGCCTGAGACCCAGAGAGGTGAGATGACCTTCATAAAATCAGGAAGTGCTAGAAGTCTTCTTGATTCCACGTTCAACGTGCGATCCACTATGTCATGCTGCCTTTCATAAATCATGTTTGAATAAAAGATGAAAGTCTTTCTAAAATGTATTATGCACTTCCCTGAATTAGCAAACAGAACATACTGAACATAATTTACCTTTTATTACTGCAACATCACTATAAACATCAGTCATTTTACACTGATGCTCTTGGGGGTAGGGAGAGGTCAGGAGTGATATTGAGGTGTCTAGGTCTGATATTCTAAAGAATCCCAGAGAACTCTGCCTTTCCTAATCATTTTTTCTTTTGTCCCTTCATGGGCTGTGAGATTTCACTTCTTGCTTTTGTCATGGAATTAGCATCCTTTCTTATCCTTTATAGGTGTTTGCTATAGATGAGGCAAAACTGAAGGCTACCAGGGGAAGCCAGTAGTAAAGTCTAAATCAAGCACCCTAATTTTATACGCAACATTGGGTCTATAGGAAATTTGGTATAGTGGGTAGAGGGCTATGCCTAGAGACCAAGAGAACTAGATTCAAGATCTAGCCTCTGATAGTTACTAGCTTTGTAAACCTTTGCAAATCTTTTGACCTCAGGTGTCTCAGGAAGTTTCCTAGGATTTTTATACTAAGTCATAGGCAAGCTTGATGACCTAGAAAATGAAGGATCTGGGCTAGATGATCTCTGAGGTTCCTTTAAGCCCTACAAATCTGTTATGTACAATTTGCTATTCCTCTTAAATATATAGAGATGGCTGCCATTAGACCAAATAGAGGGGTGTGTGTGTGTGTGTGTGTACACACACACACACACACACACACACACACACACACACACACAATTTATCAATTCTCTGGGTGCAGATATCTTTCTTCATATGCCCCTTATAGTTAATTTGGGTATTTATAATAGTCAAAATGACTTATTTACTCAAAGTTGTCCTTAAAACAATATTGCTGTTGCTGTATACAATATTCTCTTGGTTCTGCTCATTTTGCTCTTCATTATTTCATTCAAGTCTTTCCATGTTTTTCTAAGATCATTGAGCTTATCATTTCTTAAAGTACTCTGTCACAACCATGCACCACAACCTATTCAGCAATTCCCCAATTGATGGGAATCCTTGCAATTTCCAGTGCTTTGCCACCACAAAGAGAGCTGCTATCAACACCCTGCTAGCATTCAAAGTTATAATTACTATTTGTGAATTTCCCTCCATCTTATTTTTACTTATTGTTTTCTTTCTCAGCCCCCTACTTCACCCATCCCTCCAAGAGTCCCCTCATTCCCACCCTTCCAAATCCCAATCTATATACCTTCTAAGAGTCTCTCCCCACTTTCTCTCTTTCTCACCTCTCTATATATTCAGAAGACTTCTGCACCCTTCCAGATGTACATGTTGTTTCCTCTTCAACTCAGATGAGAGTATGGTTCCTACATTACCATTCCTCCCCCTCTACCTTCTTCTTCTACATTGGCTCTTCCTTTCACATCCCATTTTTATAATATATTTACTCCCTTTTACCTTTTCCTCTCAATTTTGTTTTTTAGAATTACCTCATCATATATAACTCAGTCCCACCCTTTCTTTCAAACTCCCTTGGTAATGATGACAATTTTAAGAATACTGATAACATTTTCATATATATAATAAGTAAACAATTTGACCTTAATGAGTGCTTTATAATTAGTCTTTAATGTTTTCCTCATAGTTCTTCTGGATCTTTTATATTGAATTTTCCATTGAGTTCTGGTCTTTTTATTACAAATACCTGAAAGTCTTTCAGTTTGTCAAATGTACATTCTTTTTTCATTCAAGTTTATTTTCAACTTTGTTTGGTAAGTTAGTCTTGGACACAGCCCTAGCTTTTTCACTCTTCAAAATATAATGTTCCAAGACCTATGACCTTAAGTCTTTTAGAATTGAAGCTGCTAGGGTTTGTGAAATCCTGACTTTATTTCCATAGTATTTAAATTGTTTTTTTTTTCTTGTTGCTTGCAATATTTTCTCCCTAACCTGGGAGTTTTGAAGCTTGGCTATGACATTCCTGTAAGTTTTCCTCCTGAGATCTCTTTCAGGTGGTGAATGATAGATTTTTTTTTTCTATTTTTACTTTACCTTCTTCTAGAATTTCAGGGCAGTTTTCCTTAATAATTTCTTACAAGATTGTATCCAGATTTTTTTTATCATATCTTTCAGGTAGTCTGCATTCTTATATTGTCTCTCTGTGATTCTCCAGATCAGTTGTCTTTGTAATAAGATGTTTCAGATTCTCTTCTATTTTTTTCTGGTTTCATTGCTTTTTGGTGACTTAAAATGTCACTCTATTACTTTTGCCCAATTCTAGTTTTCAAGGAGGTATTTTCTTCCTAAAGATTTTGTACCTTTTTTTCCAATTGGTTAGTTTTCTTTTCTCAATTTTCTTGGATTGCTTTTTTCCCCCTAATTTTTCCTTGATCTCTCTTATTTGAGTTTTGAATTTCTTTTTAAGTTTTTCTAAGACCTCTTTTTGGACTTGTGACCATTTGATGATATTCTTTGGCATAGGTGTGGTTTTATTTTTAACCTTACTATCTTCCTTTGAATATGAACCCAGATCTTCTTTTATACCAAAGTAGCTATCAGGGGTTGGGTTCTTTTTCCTTTGCTTACTCATTTTTATTTTAATTTGTCTTATTTTATTTTTAGCAACTTAGTATTATTATTATTATCAAGTTTTAATCCTGACATGTGAGTAATGTTGCCCCAGGCCTCAGGTCCTTATTACTGTTGTTTTCTGAGTTCTGTCCAGAAGTTCAATGTCAGGGCTCCTCTGTTTCTCTCCTCAGCCCCATACATGCTGACCCGAAAATGTTCTTGCTCCCTGCAGTAACGTTTCTGAGGTCCTTTCAAGTTGTCTCTTAATCACAGGTCCTCCAAATATTTGGGCTATAATGGACTAATCAGTCCATTAATAAATGTATATTAAATGCTTACTATTTGCCAGGAAGTGTGCTAGGTGTTAGGGATACCAACAAAATCAAAAGTCAGTTG